GATATCTCGCCTGCGATAATATTTTATTGTTTCGTATTTGTTTCGTGTAGAGGCCATTTTACGAAAAAATCTACAGGCGAAGGTGCCATAACTTAATTGGTAACCAAAATTAGGTAATTCAAGACATAACGATTCACGCTGTAGATTGTGGCTCAGCTTGAAAACTGCTTAATATACATAATTCTGGCGAATATAGTATATATCTATATCTATGAACGAACGATCACTTAAACTCTGTTCCAAGTAATGTTTCTCATCCCACACGTTTGCGATGCATGCATCAACAGTGGCAACACAAACTATATCAATTCCAGAGTGACAAATTGATGAAGTTGCATATTATTGTTATTTTAACGAACAAAATATTCGCAGGCTTCGTCGTCTTTGCTCTTTACAGTTAACCGAAATTTGAATGTCAGGATGCAGGAAGTTCATCCAAGGACAACTCCGAGACGACGAACAACCTAGCTTTTACATATGCTACGGTCACATTAAAACTATGTATAACTTTTCGTTTGTATCGAAAAAAGAAGATGCCTCGCTTAGAAACTTTTTAGGAGTATTCTTTCTCAGCGTAAAGAAATAAATGCTCAAAATAAAACATTTGTAGAACTATTCGAGTGAATCTTATGAAAAGAAGACGTTTAGCTCGCAAATTCAATAGAACAATTCGTTTGGATGGTAGAAACACGAGGCTGAGCTCGAAAAACTTTGTTGAATCGCATCAGACTATTAGTCTGAATCGCATGAAAAAATGATGCTTAGTTTATGAACTTTTTAGAACTATTTTGGATTGTTGTTAATTGGTGAGGGCTCAATTAACAAGACTTTTTTTTTGTTAGGTTGTAGCGCGAAACAAGATTTACTGGATCAACCAATTTCTAAGGCGAGTAATATTACAACAAAAACGATAAATTTAGGTTAAAGATGCATGTAAATGAAATAAGTTTGACATGATTTTTTTCAATATATATCTATTAAATCGTTGATAATACTAAAATACTGGAACCAGCTTGAATGAAAACAAACTACGTACAAAGACAATACCCAAAAACGGGGAGAATTTACTGGTCTGAACTCTGCGCTTCGGATATAAATGGAGCGCTTTTCCGGACACGCCTAAAAGCGGACTCGAAAGCAAAGTTTGTCCCGATAAAGTCAGGTCTCGCTCGCCGGTACCGACGAATGAAGCCGTGATCGCTGTGCAGCGACTTCGAGGTCCTATAGATCTGTCAACAAGAGAAGCGGAGGCGAAAATGGGAGGCGAAGAAGTAAACATTTTCGAAAATCAGGCATCATGAGCGCTTTGTATTGCTGACTAGTCAGTTGCTGCTGGTCATGATATTGTACTGTAGTCATTTCTTGCTTATGCTGATGTAACAGAAATTGTTGATGAACGGCCTGGCGTTTTTCGGCGTTTTATTAAACAAACAGCTTTTCACGAGGTTGCTGTCGAAAATTTTTTCTTGATTTGAGTTGCAATTTGACTTAGCAAATTTATTCTGCATAAAAAATATAACGTGGTGTTGGTACATGAGTAAATTCACGACTTCTGAGTAAATACATTGAGTTTTGTTGCCCACTGTAAAAACCTGTAAAATCCTTTCTTCTGATCACCTGAGTTGTGTATAATCAACTGTAATAGGAACTATAGCGTTCACAAGCTTGTCTCGCGTTTTATCAGTGTAGACGAAACTAATTTTATTATCGCCAACTGCAATATGCAAAAAAGCAATAACATTTCGCATTAATCTTTCATACATACCAAGATCTCAACGATAGGCAGAACAATGAAGACACACAATGGTTCCGTAATGATGCAGTAATTAGAATGGATGCATCCAAGGTGCAATATTATTTGTTTGTTGCCAACGACAAAATTTGCGTGAAATCCTTCCTCTCGCTGACCAAAATTGCACAACAAATTGCGGCGTAATAACTTAATCTAACGGCTAATTTCCTGTCAAAATAAGAACCGAATAGCCCTCTGATACTAGAGAACTTCAAAGGGATTTGTGAACAAATTTAACGAAATTTTAACAGACACATTGCTCGTCATGCGATGCTCGCCTAAAAAATAAGAATTACGTGTGACTAAAATGTGGGAGAAGCGTAAACAACGATTATTGAATAGTTAAAAGATATGATTAGCGAGCAAAACAGTGATAAGAGAAAAGTCCCTCTTAATGCGACGTTAGGATCTCAAAGGATATAAATTGGCAAAATTAGGGCAATTTTTGTTGTTTTTGATGAAATTCCTAGCCCATTCCTACTGCATAATATGAATATGTGTGATATCACACATGATATTGAAATAATGTCGACAATGATGCAACACACTATATTATTTTGAAACAATTGATAAAACAACGCAAAGAAAAGCAGGCTGTCAATTGGTTTGTCCTCAGTTTATTTCTCAGCACAGGCAGACGCTATGCAGGTGTCCTTGACAACGCCTTCCCAAAGGCAACTAAGTCGACTTTTTTCACCGTCAAGGAGCGAATCCTCAGGAATTCTGCTGATCACTTTTTTTTTGCAATGAAAGTGAAGCAGCGTTTGAGCTTTGTATAACAAAGACAATCAAAGCTTGTTACGCAAAAATAAAATAAAAAGATACAATGCACTGCTAACGACCAGAAGTTGGATCAATGAATTTTTTTGGAGTATTTATACTGCAGGTTTATCATTCATATATTTTATTATATTCAAAGACAGACACTAAAATTGAAGTGAAGTTGCAGCGCTGACTGCGCAATAGCAACGTAAAAATAATTAAACTTGATATGCTGGGAAATTATTCAAACTTGAGCCTTGCACGGAAATTGCAACTGAATCAAAAAGCCGAGGCGTCACTTCTACATTGAGTCTAGAGGAAATATAATTTATTCAAGCAAATAAACATGATGGATAATTTTTAACTACAATGTATGTTTTTAATGCATTTAAGCTCACTTGTAATTGTCGATTTTTTCTGAACTGAAAATTTTAAGGGAGATATTCGAGTAAAAGCACAGGTCAGTGAATCCCAAAAGTCTCTGTCGATCAAACAATACATAGAATTGGCCCCTGAAATGACCCAATAAACTCATTTAAAAAAAATATTTAATTAAGCGGCGAATAAGCCCCAGCATATCAAATTCAGGAATTTATTATGTGCCCATAGCAACCGATTAATTATATAGCACGAAAGTAATTTAACAATTTACATTTTGCATCTCTTACACTTGCACGGAAAACAATAACATCAATATGAATAAAATGCGAAACAGCACGTGGTCATAATCCCGAGACGATAATAAATTAGCGCCAGAGAGAAGGGTGGAAAATTACGGCGGCAACATTGGACATACGGTGTGCAGTGAGCGAAATCAAAACCCTCATATAGTTCGTACCTATAAATTATAAGTATAATAAAGCTCATGCATGGCACAGACGAGTTAACGATTCATACTGCAGGTCATAAATCATGGCCTGAGCATTGATTTTGCAATAAATGAAGCGCACACGTAATGCGTAGGATCCGACACGTTGAAGTTCATCACAAATTCACACTGCGCAGCTCTGACTTGCATGCTAACATAACATCGACCTAATCGACCAAGCTGTGTTCCGGTATTTACAGGTCAATGCTGTAATTAAGAGGTTTAATAAAACACTAATGAAAAGAAATTAGTTATAAATTAATATGAATGTAATATTAAATGATTGCTTATACAGTATGTGAATCTTAGAAGTGAAAGATTGATCAAGTCCCATGTTTCTATCTCGCACTTATCTACTTTAATTAGGATACAAGTTAGCCAAGATTCGTGCCTGTCTATAAGTGCAGTATAAGAAACGATGAAAAAACTGAGGCACCTCGGTACAATTACAATCTTTGGTGTCTCCTTGAGTAAGATGAGTTATTTCGCTTTTAAAAGTCAACGACGTGACAGAAAGCTCAAGAAATATTATTACACAATACGAGCAATATTCATTCGGGACCTGCAAAGGCCTATTTTTGTCCCAGCAACAGATGCATTACTGTCTCCGGCCACAGAATGTATTGCATATAAAGAGGGACCGCTGTGCAACGAACAAACTTTGCTCATGCATGACTGAACGAAATTATGCAGAAAAGTCTTGATATTCCCAAAATTCCATTCATCAGACAACAAAGTTTCTTTCGATAGGTTTGAAAGGTTCGAAACAAACAAACGAATTATCGAGATCCTTATAAGTAAAAAATGAGAATGTATTATTAATCGATTCTTTTTCAATATATGTGGTTATAAACTTGTAAAATACCGAGAAGGGATTATACGTGACAAATACGAGAACATTTAAAGAGTTTTAGCTAAACATGGACAGTTGATTAATTTTCGAACACATGTTTAATGATGAAGGACACGTAAAATCTTAGAAAAAATGATGAGGAGCACGTGAAAACCTAGAAAAATTTTTAGATATATAGAGCTCCGTTGACATGGTGCATTGTTCGTTCGTCCTTGCTAAAGTATGTTTTAGAAAGCACAGTTATAATCGCAACAAAATTACGAGTATTAATTCAGTCAATCATGATCAAGACTTCCACAGAGCCAAGCTCAGGTATGCTTTATTCGTAGTTGAAACCATATGAATATTGGGCATCTGAAAATTTCACTGCCTTTTAAACGTATTCCCGCAACTTATCAATAATTGACTAATCTATATTTTTTTAAATCATCAGATACGGCCATATGCTACTACCTTCTACACATTTAATACTCACTACACATTTATGATTAATATAATCCTCGCTATTTATCAACTCGTTACTTAATAAACTGCCGCGTATACCATTTCTGAGCCAGCGAGTTTCAGGCGTGGATTGGGCGCCGCAGGGGAGGGAGCGGTCGCCCGGCTTGGGCGCGGCAGCAAACGGCTCCCCTTTGCACATCCTCGACTCCAAGGACGATTTGTCCTGCCAAGGCCGCCCCACCGCCGGCCTTATAAACCAAGGTGTGAGCGCGCAACCCGCCACTCCTTCACTACCGAGCCGCGAAAATGTTGTCTTTGGTGAGTGTTGCAAAATTATTTTTATAAATAACATGCCAAATTAAATTAAATTCAATTTCTTATATCATGAACATGCCGAAACAGATTGATAGCTAGAAAGTGTGGTATATTGACAGGGAATTTTCAGCGTTACATTTGGATATTTTTGCACACCTTAATTGTGCATAATAATAATTTAATTTTGTACATTGATTTTAAAAATGTAAGCTTTAAGGATATACAATCTGAAATAAATCTCGTCATTGGAATTGGTTCCCTTCGTACAGCTAGTTTTTGAATAAAAACCATTTGGTTTAGTAAAGAATGTTATTAATTCACTGAAGAGTTCATTAAAATTGATAGTATTTTAAAAATGAACACATTGAAAATTGAAACAAAATATGTCCCAAATAATTGCATAGCTTATAATTGAACAACGAAGAAACTTTCAGATACTTTCATAGACTACCAAACGCTGCAGACACTATTTAGCAAGAATTTAGTAAATTATGAAACTGAAAAATACCAAGAGAATATTATAAAGTAATGCAAAACATTTAAAAAAATGAGAAATTAAAACTAATAGTTTCATATAGAATCTTTCAAGTAAAGAAGATGGTACTCTCATTGTATCCACAAAAAAAAATAAGATTATTTGCTTCACATTTTAACTATAATTTTTAATCCAGGTAGACTTGTCATCTCCAATCGACGGTATACTCGGTCGCACGAAGTGTTCATGCGGACTAGTTTACATTATTTACATACATTTGACATCGACCAGTGAACGATCAGTGGTCTTCAAATTGGAGTTCAAACGAGAACCTTGCATGAACTCTTGACTAAATAATGGATCAAACCTGAACTACTACATTGACTAGTAATAGGCCTGGCATAAGATTCATATGCTCGCATTTATGGCTGATTGTTAAGCAATCATTCTCATGATTCACGGGCCATCAAAAATTCAGGCTTAATCCCTAAATGTCAATCACAGGCGTTAGAATTGACTGTACGATTAACTTTAAACTTATGACCATCATCAGATTTTTCCATCTTTATACTTTCATCCAGTGACTAATATTCATTTACATTGAGTTGTTTCTAAGTAAATAGTAATGGTAGAATAAACTGTGTTGTTTGTTCAACGAGTTCATCAAAGAGGAGTTAATCGTCAATGGCGAAAGAATATTTAAAGAATAATTGGTCAGGATCCCCCCCAAAAAAAATTATACCCAGCATTGCGTTCATCAATGTTGAGGAACCATAGACGGAAGGATATATAGGGCAAGTTAAACCCTGCAGTTTGTTCACAGCATAGCGTTCATCAACGCCAAAGTCTCATCAATTTTGGGGCTTTATTGATTAGTTGCATAAAACAGCACCAGGCTAACTCTTCTTCTCTGTTCGTGGTGGCGGTTTTTCACGAAAGCAGATTCTGGTGTTACATGGTAGCTAGGTCGATAAGGGTTCTGGTGTTACAGGGTAGCTAGGTCGATAAGGGTTCTGGTTTACATGGTAGCTAGGTCGATAAAGGTTCTAGTTTACATGGTAGCTAGGTCGATAAGGGTTCTGGTGTTACATGGTAGCTAGGTCGATAAGGGTTCTGGTGCTACAGGGTAGCTAGGTCGATAAGGGTTCTGGTGTTACAGGGTAGCTAGGTCGATAAGGGTTCTGGTGTTACAGGGTAGCTAGGTCGATAAGGGTTCTGGTTTACATGGTAGCTAGGTCGATAAAAGTTCTGGTGTTACATGGTAGCTAGGTCGATAAGGGTTCTGGTGTTACATGGTAGCTAGGTCGATAAGGGTTCTGGTGTTTAAGGGAAGCTAGATCTATGAAAGCTCCGGTGTTACAGAGTAGCTGGATCTATGAGAGTTCTGTTGTTACAGGGTAGCTAGATCGATAAGGGTTCTGGTGATTTAGGGAAGCTAGATCTATTAGAGCTCTGGTGTTACAAACTTACAGAGTAGCTAGCTGCCAGATCTATGAGAGTTCTGTTGTTACAGGGTAGCTAGATCGAAAAGGGTTCTGGTGTATAAGGTGGCTAGATAAATGAGAGCTCTGGTGTTACATAGCAGCTAGATCTATGAGAGTTCTGTTGTTACACGGATCGATAGGAGTTCTGGTGTTACATGGCAGCTAGGACTGGTGTAGAAGGATGTAGCCTTCGCATGACAAGTGATTATTGCAGTAAGTTTACAGAAATCAGGAGTGGAGAGATAACGGATGTCTCATACTGATTTTAAATGCAGGCCTCGAGTTTGAAGTTAGCAGTGCATGGTTTCGATAAGTGAAATAAGAGAGGTCTGGTGGAACAAGATGGCATACATTTCGTCCTTCAAGGTAGCAGTAATCCCGTTTTAAAGGTGACAGCATCCGCGTATAACAGGCAATCAGATGTCTCACGTGGCAAGGAAACTGAAGACCCCTCCAGTTCTTATGCTGCAAAGCATCTTTGGCCTCGTTGCGCGAGAAAACAGTGAGAATGTGTTGAAAGATATAGCAGATATTTAATGCTGAAAGAAAACAGTGTTCATGTGATACAAGAGAACAGTGATCTCACGGTGCAGCATAACAGTGTTCTTGCGGTGCAAGATTAAATTGGATTAAATCAAAATTATTAGTGATTAAAAGATGAGAGCGGTCTTGTGTACAAGATAACGGTGATCGTGTGTACAAGATAACAGTGGTCTTGTGTATAAGATAAAAGTGACATTGTTTACATGATAATTAACAGTGGTCGTATGTACAAGATAACAGTGATCTTGTGCACTAGATAAGAGTGGTCTTGTGTGCAAGATAACAGAGGTCTTATGCACAAGATAACAGTGAATGGTCTTGTGTACAAAATAACAGTGGTCTTGTGTACAAGATAACAGTGTCCACTGTTATCTGGTACACGAGAACCCTGTTATCTTGTTCACATATGTACATGTGTACAAGTACCACTGTACACAAGACCACTTGTACACATGTGTACAAGATAACAGTGATCTCGTGTACAAGATAACAGTTGACACTGTTATCTTGTACACAAGACCACTCTCATTTTGTACACAAGACCATGCACCGTTATCTTGTGCCACGAGACAACTTGTATCTTACAACAAAAGACCTCCATTATTTTTCACAAGAAATTACATTGATCTTGCCCCTGAGACCACTGTTATCTGGATATACGAGACCACTTGAGACACCACGAGCCCTCACTGGCTCTGACCTCACTCATTCACCACGAACAGTGCATGGTGGCACAATACACTCAATTCTAACGCCTGTGATTGACATTTAGGGATTAAGCCTGAATTTTTGATGGCCAGTGAATCATGAGAATGATTGCTTGACAATCAGCCATAAATGTGAGCATATGAATCTTATGCCAGGCCTATAACTAGTCGTAGTAGTAGTTCAGGTTTGATCAATTATTTAGTCAAGAGTTCATGCAAGGTTCTCGTTTCAACTGTAATTTAAGGATAAGTAATCGTTCACTGAATACATTATTGTATTCAGATTATAAACCATTGAAAGAATACTCAATTTAACAGCAACTATATTCTTTTCAACAGTTTATCCTACCTACTCTACTGGCTTTTGCGTGTGGCGAGAGCGTCGTGAGCGTCGTGAGCAACCCTGCAGCTTTGACGTACACGGGAGCGACGATCTCGAACGTCGGGCCACTCACCGCGAACGTCGCCTTGGCCGGTGTACCGCAAGGGCGGCCAGTCTACACACACACTCCCCAGGTGCCCTGATCGTACCTACCATTCAATTGTCTCTAGATTTTCTACTACGTTTGGCTGTAGAATTGCGATTATATTGCAAATTATGCGTGTAGAATAGAAGCACCGATTAAATTTCCTCTTGACTTTATTTTTTTTAACGTTAGCGTTGCAATTTTATCGCAAATTATGTGTGTGGAAATTGTGAAAGGCGAGATGCATATACGGAGTTGGCCAAAAATCGTTCAGAAGATCAAACTATAATCAAACATGTCTATGGTTAATTTATCACTTCAGGGAGCTTCAATGTTCCTTCGTCACGCATTTTGTGAAAAATTGTTTTCTGTGGCAGTTTTATTTGAGAACATGAGACTCGTTCAACAACCGCTGAATATACTGGAGTTTTATTTGCTTTCAAATTCGTGGTGAGCGTGCGTTTCCAGCAGACTAATAATATAATTTCTCCAACTAACTTAACATAATAAATTGGGTTTCAGATCACTGAGCACCGATTCAAGCAAAAGACGGTACACAGCCAGTATAACGTGCCAGTGGAGAAGCCCGTATTCAGGAAGCAGGTGGTGCAAGACGTGCACCACAACTACGTGGCCAAGCCCTACGCGGTACCCAAGCCCTACGCAGTGCCCCAGCCCTATGCAGTACCTCAGCCCTACCCCGTGTATCACCACGAGGTGGAGGTGAACCAGCCCGTTCAAGTTGTGCGTCATCACACTCACCAACAGCAGGTGCATCATTTCCCGTTGGTTAAAACTGCTGATGTGGTGCACCAACACTCGCCTGTGGTGCATGTAGCACCAGTTGTACAACAGGTTGTGGCTGTACCGTATGCAGCCCCAGTTTTCGCTAACGCTGCACAGCATACGCGAACGGAAACAATGCAGGCCCACTGAAGCATTCCCACTACATAGAGGGGCAAAACAATAAGAAATGATCAATCTTGAGACAAAAATTAATAAAATAGCCTAAAGTCTTTCTTATACCTTGAGCAATTATCGTCCAAAGCAACTCTCCACGTAGACCATGCAGTAACAAATGTTTCAAAAATACTGCAATAATGACAGCGAAACGCCGGCGTTTGCAAATTGAGGCTAAGAATAAAGATTAAAAAAATAGGTATCTAGTAAGATTTCAAGTGTTTTCTCAAATAAATGAAAATGAATCGAGACCAAGCTCTATATTTTTTCATGTTATCAAGTGCTTTATTACTGTTGTATTAGTGTAGATAATAATATTCTTAAACACCCGATTCTAGAACTGCATGTCCAATGTGCGTGAATTGAGTCATTACGGCGGAGGAATAAAACTTGTGTTTACCCTCTCATGTTTTCTCTCAATATTCTGACCATGAAGTAGAAAACTTTACGTATAGGGGATACTGTAACTTTGTGGAGTTACTCGCACTGCTCATTCATGCAGTGCATTAAATTTTAAATATTCACGTGTTATTAGAACAAGTGTTCAGAATACCCACCGTACCAAGATATTATCTGGACCTGAAATCATATTTTCAGTTGTAGAAACATAGACCATAACAAAACGGAGAGAAAATGACGGATTTGCTTCATTAACATTTAGAGAGCTCAAAATTAAAGCGTATTCTTAAAACACGGGGGTTAACCGAGCAGATAATCTTTCTTTGCCTCGCAATAGATAATCCTAGCAATTTTATTCAACTATCATGTATTAGCAGAATCATTTTAAAACTTGAGAGTTTGAAAATATTATCATTCCAAAGTCACGGATCGAATATTGCGTTCAATGGTAGAGGCGGGACGTAAACAAAGTTGTTGGTAGAGGCGGGATGTAAACAGCTTCCCTGACATAACCCCATATCAGCCATATGAAATAGTCAAATGGGGTAAGATCAGGTGATCTCGGCTGCCAGAAATGTAGAGAGTTCATTTCCTATGCGTCCTACCCAACGCTCAAAAAGTGACAGATCCAAAAGTTTCACACAAGATGCCAATATTGAATTGAATGGTTAAAAAATTGTAATCATTCTCTATACATTGCTGTATTAATTAATCATTTTAAATTTATGCCTGAATAAAAACGAATTTACTAAATTGAGCCCATCATTTAGAATAACCCTGTATAATGTGTGTCAATTGCTTAGAAATCACACTAAGTTTTAATTCATAAGGAACATAGAATATTTTGTTCACTTGCCTAAATGCATATTAGCTCGACATTAAAACATTTTGACCCCAAGGCAAACAAACAACTGCAGCTAAGTTAAAAAAGCTCCTACCTTGTTGACGGTAATTATATGAACAGTGTTTAAGGAGCAATTATTATATTATAGTGAGAGTGTGTAAAATGCTTGTATGTTCTAAAACTTAGATAAATACCGTCGAGATTATTAAATGGAAATAACTTCATGATAAAAAACTTCATCTTCAAAAATAACTTCATGATAAATAACCGCCCCCCCTGTACACACAGAAACGCCCCCGATTAGTATTTTGGCTAATCGAAAGTTGTCCATTATTCAGTACCTAAAAAACTCGGAGAATGATTCGCTTCATAAAACTCCAAATTTCCATGAAAAGTTACGAAACCACTCTGACCTATAGATAATATATTGGTTTATCACTGTTTAGTTCGTTCAGGTTAACTTCTCCGTGTTACGTTTTGCCGCCATTAGATAGAATAATGAGTAACGTTTCAATGTATTCGAGGTATCTGTATATGCGTTTCGTGAGTCGGCAGTATAGCAGCGTCTGGTCCGAGTTACTTTACGACGAGGCCTCAAACTGTTCTCATGGTACGTCGCTAACGTGATGGCAGCGATATCGCGTTCAGTGCCACAACTTCACATCGATTTTTTCTGTTTTATTTTTGGTGACATTTTCCTAGTTGACATGATAGGGTAAGTGGGTAAGTTCCCCTAAACGAGCCTCTTGGTTTTGCGATGCTATCACTGATGTAGAGGCGGACGCCATTCATGAAATAGAACCTCACAGAAACACGTTGCGATGGCAGTTCTAGATCGGTAAATGCTGTGTACAGTGGCACTGATAGTCGTCTCTCAAGCGCAGCTTGAGAGACGACTATTTATTATTTATTTAAAAATTATTTAATTTGTTTTTTTTTTCAAACTTGAAAGTAAAGTTATTTGAGGAACCAACATTTTTTAAAAATCAATTGTATTGACCAAGCAAACACATAAATGTTTACGAAACATTGAGGCCACGATGAAACAATATTGTGCTTATAAAAAAGTAGAAAATATGCGAGTATAAAAAATTATACCGAAGAATATACACAGGATGTTCTGCGAAAGCAAACGTAAAGGAAGCAGCTCCTGCAACAATTTTTTCCGTGCTCCAAAAGCTCACTGAAACTTTTCCATTACATATACTGATATAGGGGCATAACAATAAGAAATTTTCAATCTTGGAAACAACTTAGTCTTTTTTCTATCTTGAGATATTATCGTCCAGAGCAACTCTCTAAGTAAACCATTCATTAACAAAATTTTCAATTATACTGCAATAATGACAGCGATAGGCTAGCGTTTGCAAATTGAGGGTAAGAATAAAGATGAAAAAATTAGGTATTTAGTAAAATTTCAAGTATTTTCTCCTAAAAATGAAAATGAATCGAGACAAAGCTCTATCTTTTTTAATGTCCTCACATGCTTTAGTACTGTTGTATTAATGTAGATAATATTCTTGAACGCCCGATTTTAGACCTACTAGGCCAATGTAATAAGTAATTTTGAATTGGATCATAATCGCAGAGGAAATAAAACTTGTGTTTACGCTCTCATGTTTTCTCCTAAAATTCTCAGCATGAAGTAGAAAACGAAAGTTATTGGGGATACTGCACCTTCGTGAAGTTACCCGCACTGCTGCTACCCACGTCCCACAGCACATCAATTAATAGAATATGTGGCACAGCATTAATAAGACAAAATGTTCAGAATACCCGCCATACCGAGATATCATCTAGACCTGAAACTTCATTTTCAGTGGTAGAAACATAGACCATAACAAAGCGGAGAGAAAATTTTGGATTTACTTCATTAACATTTACATAGAGAGCTCAAAATTAAAGCGTCTGGCCTAAAATTTTGGATTTTGACTTTTCCAGTTTTTAGTCTTGTCTTAAAGCTGACATTCTGACCTATTCAACGGTACAAAAACCATCTCTGTACGTTGATTTATTCATTCACGACAGATCGCGAAAGGGTTAGGAGTGGTGGAGTTCTTTAACATTTAACATAGGGAATAATTGCCGCAGTGCACTTTAAATAGCTAGTCTTCACACTCTCCGCTCAAGTAACCCTTCTGCAGTCGTTTGGGATGGTTTTTGCGCCGTCGTTTCCATCATCCTTGACAGAAATTTCGGGCTCCACTGAAAATTTAACTTATTGTCACTGGAAAACTATCTTCTCCTACAGTTTTGAAGCAACAGCGAAGAGAAATATAACATTCGATTCACAAATAAATTATGTAGCGATTGGTTGTAGTTTTTTTCAATTTCGTTATAGATTTGAAAATATTCCGAGAAAAGGGGGGCGGAAATGGGAAAAATCGAAAATATTTCGAAAATTTTACGAAAAAAAGCTCCCCTACCCACAAAAACTCGAATTTCAAAAAAGCTACGACGTATCGAATGATATGCGTCTCGATGTTGTAGCTTGAAAATCCTAGGAGGAGATTGTTTTCTACAGTACTCCTTTTTTTGGCCGTTTTTTAAGAATTTCACGTTTTCTTTCATTTTTTTCGAAAAAATTAGCATGAATAAAAGCTGTATATTTTTGGGTTTTACATATGTGTTCCAAGTTTTAAAGTGATCCGTCTGTAAACAGCCGAGATAACATTTTGGCCAAACGCTCCCCTTAGCAGATAATCTTTCTTTGCCTCGCAATAGATAATCCTAGCAATTTTATTCAACTATCATGACCAGAGATTAGTAGTTTGGCTAATCGGATTTGTTCATTATTTAGTACCTTAAAAACTTTGAGTTCGATCCACTTTACTATATTCCAAATTTTCGTGAAAAGTTACTAAACCAATCTGAGTTCCATAATATATTGGTTTATCATTATTTTCTGAGTTCGGGTTAACTTTTTTGTGTTACTTTTTGCGTCCATGAGATGGAATTACGAGTAATATTTCAATGTATTCAAGGTATCGGTAAGCGTTTCGTGAGTCGGCTGTATAGCAGCGTCTGGTCCGAGTTAGACTTTACAACGAAGCCTCAAACTGTTCTCATCGCACGTTGCTAACGTGATGGAAGCAATATCGCGTTCAGCGACACAACTTCACCTCGATTTTTTCTGTTTTATTTTTGGTGACATTTCCCGAGTCGACATGATAGGGTAAGTGGGTAAGTTCCTCTAAACGAGCCTCTTGGTTTCGCGATGCTATCACTGATGTAGAGGCGGGCGCCATTCATGAAATAGAACCTCACAGAAACACGTTGCGATGGCAGTTCTAGATCGGCAAATGCTGTGTACAGTGGCACTGATAGTCGTCTCTCGAGCGCAGCTTCAAGACACGCATGGAATTATTTACTTTCTTCAAACTAATAAATTAAATTACTCGAGAAACCAACATATAGATGCTTACATTATATTGTGGCCACAATGAAACAATATTGTGCTCATAAAAAAATATAAACTATCTGAGTATAAAAAAAATTATACGCACACCGAAGAAATGGCATTTATTTATCGTTTAAGATAATTTTTTCATCATAGAACAACATCCCCACAGTTCACTCAACAAATATTTTTAAGAATTCATAAATTCATTTAAAAATGATTTAACTTACATAAAAAGCACGAAATTGAAGAAGCAGTGGCGCCAAGCTAGCAGAAATTTGAAACGGAACAACAAGTGCAAGAAGAGGAACTCGAGCGGTCAACGAAGCTCTGGAGATCTCAAGAGTTAGCTTATTCCGGCACCGCCCATCGTAGCTATGCCCCGCTCCTGTTACTCCAGAACTGTCCGGTCACTATGACGGTTAGGTTCTTCAGGCTTCTGTTATTTTACCGGTCACTATGACGGTTAGGTTCTTCAGGCTTCTGTTATTTTACCGGTCACTATGACGGTTAGGTTCTTTAGGCTTCTGTTATTTCATTTCAGACTATTTACGATTACGACAGAACGTGTTTTTTTTGCTACTGTAAAGATGATTTCTGATGTACAAGGCCGCTGACTATCTACAAATAATGAATTTGAATATTATTCATTTCCACAGATACAGGAAAGTCGAGCATCTACCGCGTACAGCTCAAGAGGAAATAACTTATAATATCCAACAGATTAATATTTTTCGACTGAAACTTAGCACCTTACACTGCCA